TACAAATGTGTACAACACGAGCTACAATGTGTTAGATATTTTTTCAGAATTCTTACGAACAATCGAATATGGTACAATCGACTAAAAACTTATTTTTTATACGCGACTACATGCTCGATCAGGATTGATTGGGATTTTCAGAGCCGAAAAAATTCGAAAAAATTTACAAATGTGTACAACACGAGCTACAATGTGTTAGATATTTTTTCAGAATTCTTACGAACAATCGAATATGGTACAATCGACTAAAAACTTATTTTTTATACGCGACTACATGCTCGATCAGGATTGATTGGGATTTTCAGAGCCGAAAAAATTCGAAAAAATTGAAAAAAATTTGAGAAAATTTACAAATGTGTACAACACGAGCTACAATGTATTACATATTTTTTCAGAATACTTACAAGCAATCGGTTGGTGTAAAATGGACCATAAATGGATTTTTGTGTACGACTACCCTCGCAATCCAGGTAGACCAAGCTTTCTCTGACTAAAAAAAATTAGGAAACATTTTCCAACATGTATTGCAACAATTACAATGTACGAGACACGTTTTAAGAACAATTGCAAGCAACAAAATAGAGAAATATCGATGAAAAGCCGATCTCGGCTTGCAACCAGCTTTTGAATCAACTGCGATTCGCAGCCGGGAAATCGCGTGTGTCTAACAATTGCCGCGTGACAGGAAGACGATCAGGGTCTCTGGTGACCCGGCTCGGCGTGCCACGAGTCAGAGGAGCCGTCGATCGAGTAACAATCGCCGGTCGGCGAACAGGACGCGGCCGTGCGAGCCATATCGGCTTTGAACGGCAGTTTACGCGCGTCAGTTTTTGCCGCTAAGGTCATTACCTGAACCTGCTCGGTGCCGGGCGACTATGGTCGCCGGTGAGCAGCATGTGTGCCACCATTAATAACTACGCGTCGGCACGTTGCGCTTCTTTGATCGGCCAGCAGACTGTTTCTTCTCCGCGGCGGCTACTTGTCGAGACGACGCCGCGAGTTATTTCGATAACCGTTCGCCGGTGGATGGCGTCTCGTTTTTTCGGCTGTCGGTCTAGCTTCGTTACGGATACGTCCGTCCGATCGCGGCCGTTTCTGCTCTAACAATAAACGAAAAAAATATCCGATCCCCACCCCTGCTCTTCCCACGGCAGAGAAATTACCGTGTTCCCGTTAGCCGATACCGATCGCCGGTCGCTCGCCGCGGCAGCCCGTGTCTCTTTTCAGATCGTTTTTGCCCGGACGGCCGTCGTTAAACTGTCCCCAGGCTACGCCGGGAACGATCCTCTCGCGTCTATGAAATACAATTCGCCCGGAATCCGCCGGTTTCCGCGAGAGAAGAATATTTACGAGCGGTCGAATCAAATAATCGGCAATGTTGAGATTATGTCAACAACGTGGGATGGCAACTGCAAGTAATTTCTCACAGTAATTTTTCTTAGAAATATTCGGAGATCGGAATTGTGACCGGCAGATCTGAGAAAATCAAGTCGCGATTCTTCGAGCCTCGCGGCTCGTTTTTATAGAAACTCGGAGCAGTCGGTAAAAAACGGTAACGGCCAGCATGCTGGTGTACGTTTATATGAATCATAGTAATGCTAGAATAAAAACGATGACTTAACTTTTTGTTTCTACTTTTTTGCCACGACTCGGAGGCAATTCGGAAGCCTCGTGACACGATTCGAAGGCAATTCGGAGGTCATGTGATACGATTCGAAGGCAATTCGGAGATCATGTGACATGATTCGAAGGCAATTCGGAGGCCGCGTGACATGATTCGAAGGCAATTCGGAGGCCACTTTACACGATTCGAAGGCAATTCGGAGATCATGTGACACGATTCGAAGGCAATTCGGAGGCCACTTTACATGATTCGAAGGCAATTCGGAGATCATGTGACACGATTCGAAGGCAATTCTGAGGCCACTTGACACGATTCGAAGGCAATTCGGAGGTCATGTGACACGATTCGAAGGCAATTCTGAGGCCACTTGACACGATTCGAAGGCAATTCGGAGGTCATGTGACACGATTCGAAGGCAATTCTGAGGCCACTTGACACGATTCGAAGGCAATTCGGAGGTCATGTGACACGATTCGAAGGCAATTCGGACACATGCCACGATTCGATAGAGATTCGTCTCATTTTTATAGCTGTTGAGAATCGGTAACTATAAAAACGAACCGCAAGGCTCGAATAATCGTATTTTCTCTTCCAATTTGAGCGGGTCGAATCTTCGCAAATAATAATCTGCTGTAATCATAGTCGGTACGAGATATCGGTCGCCTTGTTTTATATGCTGGATTCCATTATTTGTGAAAATCCTCAAATTTCTCGTAGTCTTTAGTTCCCGGCTCAGCTGCGCGAACGGCGGGGGTGATCGTCTCGCAAGCGGTGGCGTCAGCGCGAGCGAAAATTGAAACGGCCAGATTTTTAATTTTTTTTTTTTACCGACGAGCCTTTTGTTCGCACGTCGTACGCAGGACGTTTACGATTGCAAATGGAGATAGCCGGTAGGCTAATAAATCTCCGAGCGTTTAACAGTGTTGAGCAAGGAAGGTTCGAGCGTCTATGACGCCGGAGGAATAATCGCTTCACGGAAACCAGCTTTCATTCATAACAAGCGTCCGAAGGATCGCCGCTTACCAGGCGTCGAAGTCTCCGGCACCGCGACACGGAACGTTCTCACAGCGTCCACGAAACGCGGAATGATGTAACACGCTATTCACAGTATCCTTTCCGCTGTATCCTAGGAGATGCGGACTCGCAATTTGCGAAGTCTTGCCTACATTTTATGGCAACCTTTATTCCGGCGAAGTAAAAGTTTCGCGAGAACCGGGGTTGCTAAAGAAGCGAAGTTTTTCAAGGGGAAGAACGCTTCGCGAGCGCCGATCGGGCTTAAAACAGCATCATTATGGGACCCCGTGATTCCGAAACTCCGCGGTCCCACCGACGGAGCCGTGCGCCTAAACACCGGGGATTCTGCAATGTTGCTAATTGCCCGCAGCAACAGCGTCCAGCGGCAGAAAACGTCGAACGAAAAGTTACGTAACGCGAACGTAACTCGAATCCTGAGCGGAAACGGGCAACTTAGCGTGGCAGCTAGGCGAATGTTTAGTTTTCTTTTCGAAAAATCAACGCCGATAGTTCGCGCCGTTATGGCCTCCGGGCTGTTCCTCGTGCCGATACAAGGAGGACGAGCGCCGACCGAGTAATGGCGTGTTCGCGGCTGCATTGTTCGCCGAGCGCAATGAGCATCGATCTCCACGTGTTCCATGTTTACGAGCCGGTCACGTGACCGGCCGCAAGCAATTACATAAGCATCGGTTCGAAGACTAATAAATAATCAGCCTTTCTTCCTACGATTGCGGCTCGCTAGTCTCTCCGCACGACCAACTGCGATTTCTTCTTCGCAAAATAATGCCTATTCACCGCTAATTGATCGCTTAAAATTTCGAAAAAAATCGACGAGATAGAGGTAATGTTACTTTATTGCGTACTTTTGGAATCGTTCGAGTATTCCATATGGTTATCGAGAAAAATTATTGTAAAGTACAGCTCGTATTCTTCTTGCGGATGACAGAAGTCTGAAGCATTCCAAAAAGATAACTTTTTTCTCCCCTTAACGAGTGGTTCAAAATTCTGAAAAAATTTCACGAGATAGAGTTAATATTCCTTTACTATGTCTTCTTGGATTCGTTCGAATGTCATGCATAGTAATCGAGAAAAGCATTTGCGAAGTCGGTGATTCTCGACTCATGTTTTGACCACAAGAGAAGATGAAGTTCTGAAAGTTCACAAATGATATTTCAGATAAGGCGGCATTATATTTGAAATAAAAATGATCAAAATAGTGTTAAAACCGATTGCGACTGCTGATTCAGCAAGGCAGTGTCAAGGCCAGCTGGAAAATCCTGTCGCCGATCTAGAAAAGCAATGGAAGATCCGCGCGGCGATCAAAAGCGACACGTGCGCGACCCAGACAAAAAACCGAGTGCACCTGGCTGCATTTGCATTCACGTAACGAGCGAGCAACTGCGTAGCAGCGGATGCGCACGCGAAAGTCTCTGTGAAGTACCGATCTATCGAGATAGCGTTCCTAAAGCCGAATTCCTAATTCACAATTTGACTCAGCATCGACCACCGAAATTTCGTAGCCGAAGCAATAAATCTTAATTCTCCGTGGACAACCTGGTTCTTTAACCCTTTCGCTACGATAGCTCCATCCGCCGAAGTACCGTCACTAAACTGAAACTCGTTCCAGAAATATGCACAGTGCGCGTGGTTTCTGTATATATGTTGTTCCAAGTCTTAAATAATAACTGTGCCGAATAAAACAATCGTTGCTCTAGTGTAACAAGTATATTTACATTTTTAATTTAAAAAGACTTACAAAATTATAGGTAACATAGGTATTTATATAATTACAAAGCCTGACGATTAAATGTTTAATATAATTAATAACGAGACGAAAATTATTAAATGATAATAATATGTTAAAACTAATAATATAATTCTGTGTGATATATTTGAAAGCAAGGATCTATACAAAGGCCAACATCGCAATCTTTGCACTCACACCGCGAATCCGTTCTTTTATCATTTTTGCTACAAATTACACATCCGCGTCTTCTGTATACACTTCATTTTGATGCCGCATATATGCGGCGCCCGTACCCACAGGTCGTCGAGTAGATGCCGCATATATGCTAATATATGTTAAGTACCCAGGAAAAATATAATAATAATAATTATTTATTTATGCACACTGGTGAAAAAAACCATCGTTGCTGAAGAGGAAATAAAGGGAAACAGATTTTATAGAGTCGTCGCACGAGTACAATAAAAAATTGGTTAGTTGGTAAAAACATACTTCGCCGAAGAAATAAATCTCAAAGATAAAAATCCCGTGAAACGGAAATTTGTTGCAGATCGTGATAATTTGAAAATGAAGAGGTGTTGTAGGACGAACGTAAAAACGAATTCCTTTTGATTGCAGGTCTGATGATGGAATCAGAGAAGAAAATATTCGAGATGATGAACAAGAAGGCGGCGATGTCCAAGTACTGGATGCCGCTGGTCTGGGCGACGAACATAATTAACAGGGCCAGGAGGGAGGCCTTAATTACTAGCGACCAAGTGGTGCAGACCCTCCTTGTCGAGCTCAGCGACATCCGGAAGAGGCTTGGCGCGTTGATCGGTTACGACACCGTTTGCGTTCCTCTCGTTTACACTCAGGTGAGCATCCAGATTTTCAGCAAACCGTGCCGGGCCACATTGGTATTCCTGCCGGCGCGGCGATCATTTGTTGGTACAGCTTTTGCCTAAACGAGGAAACAAATACTGGTCGCCATAATGAGACGTGTAAACGAATCACGAACCAATGAATTAATGATTCTCTCCAGAAGTAATTCGGTGAATTCACGAATCGCACGGAGCATAAGTCGTCTTCGACAATTTGTTACGCTAGATCTAGACGATCCAGGGCTACGAAATCTTTTGTGACGTGTTCGGGGGTGTTTCGACATTGCAGGGAAATTTCGGTTGGACACTGTGCTTAATGGTTCTCATCATAAACGACGTTGAGTCGAACCGACTCGTTAGAAGTCAAGAAAGAACATTGTGTATCTCATGTTTTCACTTTCGAAACATTGTTCTCTAAGCTTTGATTCTTCATTAAATTTTGATCATTAATTCTTCGTATCAGTAGTGTTTCTCTGGTTTTACTTATTTTCGCGGGCCTACCGAATGTGTTTGAATAAACTTACGTTTTCTGAAATTGCGACATGTGACGATTTTCCTTACAAACATAGATAATATCGATAAGAAAATGAACTGCTATAAAACTTGAAATACAGTTGAATGATATAATTCCATAGCGGCCAGTTTAAACTGTCAGCTACTTAGATTAAGTCCAATAAAAGCTTCAACATTGATCTGAAAGAATTAGTCTGAAAAATACCTAAAAGATGATCGATACGCAAGCTTTTGTACGCGTCTGGCCGTGGCTGGCATAAAATCGTGCGAGACTCAAGTGTTCCACAGAAAGCTTCCGCAGCTTTTTCACACGTTTCTCGATCGCTGATCAATTAATCCAACAATTTGTAATCCGAGATACTCGATCCAACGCCAGCCATCGATCTTCTAATCGAGAAGAAGTCCCATAACTATCCACTTATCGACGTTCATAGCGCTTCGAACGTCTTCATCGGCAGCCATTTCCCATCGCCTCGGGAATCGAGCAACCCTCGGTTAGCAACATTGTGCAATTCTTCAAGTGCAACGTCCACGCGGTGTATGCGTTTCTGTGAAAATCGTTATCCAGTTCGAAGGACTCGATTCATTGCGGCGCGGCAGTAAAACGGATCCGTTCTCGGAAAGATGTTTCTCATTCGCAATTAGCCGCTGCGTGTATGCATTGTGCAACGCTAATTGCTCGTCAGCTAGCGTTCCTAATTGCCGGGTGCAGACGCCATCGTTTTCGAACAATTCGCGCCGCGAACACGACCGCCCTCGGCGTTTCTTTGTCTCCGTGGCCTTTCGACGACCTTTCTCCGTCCTGTCCACTACTGTATCCTGCTTCGAGTCGTTCGGACCGCGACGCTTGGGTCGATTTTGACCCGGGTTAACAGGAACTTCGACCGACGAGACGCTGGAACGTAGGAAACTTTTGCGAATTTTTTGCCGGTGAACTGGCAGATCTTTTTTGATGAAAGTTACCAGGTCTTGTAAAGTGTGTATTCTATAAATGATAGTATCATTTTCATTTAGAAACAATGACAATCGTGGAAAATACGCGACACGTTTGGAACGCTGATTTTTTCAGAATGCGCTGCGACGATTACTGCTACTCGGGCATCTTTGTGATTTTTTTGCGGGAGGACCAGTGAATCCTTTTTCATGAAATCCATCGCATTTCGTTAAGTAGATATTCGACAAATGTCGGTAATTTTTTCACTTCGAAATAATAAAAATTGCTGGAGGTACTGCTGATTTTTCAAGAGCGTATCGCACGTTTGCGAATTTCTCGTGCGAAAACTAGCATGGTGTGCATATACGGTGTGCACATTCGATATAAATATCTATCATGATATTTATCAAAATATATAATTTCAGGTAAAAGTCGTGGAAAGCTAAGAATCGTTCTCTGTCTCAATCATCCTCGATCTCGATCAATTAACCACTCCTTCGAGCGTTCGCATTCTACGTTCGCAGACAATCACCGAGCCCGTTCATTGAACAGTTTTTACCAGATCGGTTGATCCGATATTTCTTGTACGAAACGGTGTAGCCTAAACCCTAAACGATCTCCGGAATGCCGCCGACAGAACTGTCGCTGAAAGTTCACTCTCGTGCAACGAAGTAAAAGGTCCCAGGTGGGGACAAAGAGAATCCAGCATCGCAGTTTCGCCGGTAATTAAACCGCATTATCGCCGTCTGTTCTGTCGCAATTTATAAAACGTTCCCGGGAAGACGCTCGCTTCTGTTTACAGCACCGAGATATATGACGAAGCGCGTAATTGAACCACCGTTCGCGACGTTCCCCGTCTGTTCCCTTAATTAAGAACTATTAACGAATTCTGCAACCGCGCGAACGCAACGAGACGTTTTAACGTCCGAACGAAAAGTGAAATTCCGCGCAGAGATATCTCCGCCGTGTTCTACTTGAAAAGACAAAAAAGACCAGACGGTGAAATAGCATAAAATCTAAGATAGGTCGCCTAAACCTCCATCGGCTGGTTTCAATGGTAAAGAAAGTCTAAATGGTCCGCGAATCGTTGCATTCTAGAATGGAAATTCCCGGCATGGTTCTGGTGCAGAAACGAAAATAATACCAAGATAGCAATCGTTCGAGTTATTAATTAACACGTCACTCAATAAGTCTCTGGTCTGACACATATATGGCAACACTGTTAACAAACCTATATGATTTCTGGATAGTAGCATTTTTCAAACGATACATGTAAAAATTTCATGACATTTTGATGATTAGTTTACAGGTTACAGTGGTTTTAGTGACCCCAGTTTTGTAATTCTCAAAACAATGGTTAGAAATGAATTTCGTGTATCGATTAAACATTGTTTTTTGATGAGGAAAAATACTGTTGAAGCCAAACAGTGGCTTAATAAGCGTTACGAAGACTCTGCACCAGGGAAATCAACTATTATCGACTGGTATGCTAAAATTAACACGTTCCGTGCCGAGCTTTTTTTACTCGAATCTTCACACTTTGATATTTTACTAAAACTTGATGTATTACGTGCAATTATTAATTCTCGTACACATAACAACATAACAAAAACTTATCAACGCCCATTCTTGCGGTGGAAATTGATTCTTCGGTTCTAAATTTCTTGTAAACAATTTGTTCAGTTCACTAAGTAAACATGCAAGCGTGTACTATCGATGGTACACGTGGCACGGAACGTGTTAAACGCGGTCGTACAAACATCGATGATGCTGAACGCCCTGATCGCCCAAAATCGGCAGTTGTTCCGAAAAACATAAAAAAAGTCCACAAAATAGTTTTGAAAGACCGTATAGTGAAATTGCGTGAGATAGCTGACCCCTTAAAGATGTCAGAAGATAGCGTGTTTACAATTTTGCACAACAATTTGAGCATGTGTAAATTGCTTTCGAAGTGGGTGCCACGTTTGCTCACACCGGATCAAAAACAACAACGTGTCGACGATTCGGAGCGCGGTTGAGCGATGGTTAAATCGAACGAATTACGCTTCGAATTGTCTCCCCACCCACCGTACTCTGCGGATCTAGCCCCCAGCGACTACTGGCTTTTTGCAGACATTAAAAAGATGCTCCAGGGAAAGAAATTTGGCTCAAATGCTGAAGCGATTGCCGAAACGGAGGCCATTTTGAGAACAAAGACAAATCGTTCTACAAAAAAGGCATCGAAAAGTTAGAGGAGCGTTGGAACGAATGTATCACTCTTGAAGAAAAGTACGTTGACGAATAAAGTCGAATTTCTAAAAAAAAAATTTGTTTTTCTTAGCTAGACCGGAGACTTATCGAGTGATGTGTTAATTGTCGGAGTGTTCTCTAGATTCGTGTTCCATGTCTGGAAGAATCCGAGGCATTTCTCGGATCGATACGCAAATACACGATCATCGTCCGCATTCTATTTACCGTCTTAATTTATGAGAAGAACACGAGCAACTCGAATAAAAATGAGGCTCGCTGACTAACGAGCCGATCCAGTCTCGTTGTCCGCGTTCTAAATATACCGCGAATGGCACGCTCGATATTTCCGAGCGGGGAAAATGCCGACCGGCCGTATTTATCCGCGGGCGATCGTCGCCTTTGAATTTCGCGTCCCGTGATCATCGTTCGTAACCGATTACGTAACCGATCGATGAATGAACGTTTCCTCGGCGATCGATCGCGGACCCCACCGTGATTGACTTGTTGTTCGTCGCGCGGTATTTATCGGCGATTCTTAACCGGTGTTTGAAAACCTGTTGCGTTCGGAGAACTCGGATCGATCGTGGCTCGTTTCCGTCGTAAATCCGAACGCGTAATGTCTCGGAAATTATTCTGAGTCCAGTGTATCCGCTGGACTATTCGTTTCTCTAAAGGGTAATTAAGGTATCCGAATAATAAAGCTGCTGTGTATTTTTAATGACTCGATACAGCAAAAATTCTCCGTAATTTTCCCTCAGCTTGCACCCAAAATTGCGCAATTTGGGAAGAGAAGATACGATTATTCGAGCCTTGCACCTCGTTTTTATAATTGTTGACAATCGGCAGCTATAAAAATGAGCAGCGAGGCTCGAAATTGTCCATTTTGTGTTTACAAGCTGAAAGAAAGTTTGGGAGAATTTATTGTATTCCGTTACAGCGGTCATTGAAGAAGAATCGATTTCCTGGACATGGTACAAATATCTCCTACAATTTCGATTAGTTTCAATTGAAAAAATTACTCACACTTGTCGAATAAGTAGTTTATAAAATGCGTTCGATTTCATCGAGAAAGATACACAGGTTTTTGCGCAAGAAATTGTGAAAGATGCATTGTAGTTCAGATTGTAACTGCAACGCGTTCTTGAAAAATCAGCTTGCTGGACACACGCAGTGTACCTGTTACTAACATTTATCGAATATATACTTTATAAACTGTGATCGATTTTGTTAAGGAAGATCCACTCCTCCTTCGCAAAGAAATTGTGAAATATGCACGAGCGGAAATGGTAACTGCGATTCGTTCTCGAAAGATTCGCAAGGACGCGTGCGAATACTTGTCCGTACGTAAGCTTCGTCAATCCTCAAAATTTGACGCTTGACATTGTAAATACCCGAATAAAAATATCGCTGACACGGCCAAACATGCACTTTGTTAAATACGAAAGCGATCGGGCAGCAAGGCCAATGCACATTGCATGTCCAAGTCTGCGCCGACCATCGGCGATTTTTTCGGTAACGCGGTTCGAGGAAAGAATATCAATTTCTACAGCCCTTCTACGGGATCGCCGATGTTCGGAGATAAACTATCGATCGGTTTTTGTTGCTCTTGGATAAGGTTTTGCATAAAGTATCATTTCCTGGTGGCCTTCGACGAGAAAGGTGCTCTCGTCGACCTTGATATTATTTCATTCAAACCTGTTCGTTGTTACGCGCGCCTTGAAAAGAGGAGCTTGTTAAAAAGACCTCTGGCGAGCCACTGACTCCGTTTGTAATTCCACACCCTTTAAAAGGGTTCTGTCACGTAGCCCGATTGCTGTTTCGTCAGAAATTTTTCTGCCGGCTTCAGAAAATTCATCCAAAGTAAGCGTATGTACAATCACGGTTTTAATTCGTGGTCAGTCTTTGTCATGCATTGAAGTCTTCTCGTTGTTTTCACTCTGCGACGAAGGACGCTTTCGACAATCGTATACATCGCAATTATTCATTTAATTAATTATATGAACATTAATTTGCTATTCTGACAATTAATTTAAATCGCGACTGGTTATATTCCGTGTAATTGCAAAACAAGCTAAAAAGTTCAAATGAATCTAATGAACGACTATTAATTTATATTATATTAATTTATATTACGTTAATTTATATTATGTTCATTTATATTTATTATGTCAATTTATATTATATTAATTTATATTAAGTTAATTTATATTATATTAATTTATATTATGTCAATTTATATTATATTAATTTATATTAATTATGTGACACAGCTGCTGGTCAATTTAAAAAATTACATTAACTTCAAATTTCTAGCTTGTTTTGCAATTGCACTAAATTAACCGGTCCCCGCGTAGGCAGGCTTGCTTACACATTTTTCCAGCATCGTAGTCCATAGTAAACAACGACATAGGCAAAGTGTTTATGGCGTCGTTATTGGTTTCTTATCGCCGATCGCCTTTGATGGCACTTCCTTCATGCGCAGAAAGTGTACAGTGTACAAACAGCGGTACCGATAATCGAGTCAAATGATGCAACCAAGGAATACGCGCGGCGATAAATTTCTGTTAGTTAATTATTGTTGACGATTGTTCGACGACGATCACTATTGTTTCTGTTTTATTGCAACCGGCGAAATCAATCAACGAATTGCACGTGGCGAATCGCGATTCGCCACGGTTCGTCGCGCAAAAATCGACTAGCACTTTTATAGCCGCGATATTCCCATGTACCGGTACTATAACTCTTCTTTTAATTATAATTTTCCGCTGACTTCACTTCGCAATCATCGGCGTTAACGATTCGCACATTTATAGACACTGTGCCATATACTTAAAGCAAATTGTGCCATTATTTCTAGAGCTAGTCATTACTTCTGGAACATGTGTACCTTATATTGGTTTATTTACACTAGCCTTTAATGTTGTCATTAATTATGGAACTGTATATCTTTTATTTATGCTAGTTTTTAATACTTGATTTTGGTGCTGTACATCTTTTATCGATACTATCTACTAGGTTGTTCGAAAAGTAGTTTTGTTTTCTCATGGAAAAATTAAATACGATTTTTAATATCACGAGTGAATTTTAGTCAATGATGTATCGACCATTTTGTTTTATAATCTTTTGTCATCCTTCTGGCTGCTTTGAAACCCTATTCTCGTACAGGTCCTGTTTTTTATTTGCAAAACGATTTAACAAGTCTCAGAAGAACGAAATTACTTTCCGAACATCCCAATAGTTTTTAATACTACTTATATTTTGTACTTTATTGTTTAATATCGAAGTCACTTCGTTAAACTTATCTTTTCGTAAGGAACAAGTACAGGGTGCCCCAAAAATGTCTCGTAATCCGGAAATGGCGGGTTGCTCGGATCATTTGAAGCAACTTTTTCCTTTACAAAAATTTTCTCCGAGGCACCGTTAACGAGTTATTAATGAAAAACAGTGAATAAGAATAAGAATAAGAATCGAGTACGCGCGGTTGACGCGAGGTGGCCCAGCCAACCAGCGCACGGAGCCCAGTTCTGCTCATTGGCTCGATCGCCTCGACCGCTGGCGCTGTTGGCCCGGCCGCCTCGACCGCTGGCGCCGTTGGCTCGGCCACCTCACGCCAGCCGAGCTCGCCTCTCATTGGTCACAGTTTTTCGTTAATAACTCGTTAATGGTGCCTCGGAGAAAATTTTTGTAAAGAAAAAAGTTGCTTCAAATGACTTGAGGAACCCGCCACTTTCGGATTGCGAGACATTTCTGGGACACCCTGTATGGCTTGTTTTATTGACATGTGCCATGCACAATGTACAACGTTGTGTACGATAATTAACATATTGTACAATAAACAGTAACTAACATATTGTGCAATGTACAATAATTAACATAAATAGCATCGAGCAACACCGATTTGAATTCCGAATAGAAGAAGTTAATTTCCAACTTCTAAGATTCTTCCGAGCAAAAATTAATTTCACCGAGAAGTATGCGATCGGATCGCCACTGTTCGATAGCGAAGATCGATGGAAGGTATCGGCTAAGCTTAACAAATGGTTAATTTACGTTCCGCAGGTAGTCACGCTATCTCTGTACGCGTATTTCTTTTCCGCGTTGCTCGGCCGACAGTTCATCGAGCGCACCGACGTCGGAGGCGGAAAATACGAGGAGCCCGACATGTATTTTCCATTTTTCACGGCGTTGCAGGTGAGAAAGAGCAAAACGCTTGTTGCACGGTTAACCTGTTGTCGGTTATGAATCAACGTCTGTTCCTGTCCTTTCAGTTCTGCTTCTACGTGGGCTGGCTGAAAGTCGCCGAGGTGCTGATCAATCCTTTCGGCGAGGACGACGACGACATCGAGCTCAACTGGCTCATCGATCGGCACATTAAGGTAAAGAGCGGATCCTTCTTTTTTTTTCTTCCTTCCCGCGGCGTCGACACCTCCGGTAATGATAATCCGCTTATAATGGATTACGAATTTATCGACGATTAAGTCATCCCGAGACGCTCTTCGAAGAAATTCCCCGAGAGAAAATCACTCTGCCGGCGCATCAATCTTCGATTTGAATAGCCAAACAATTTCGACAGGATTTTTAATAGATTAAATCATTCGGTGTCTTCTGTAAACCCATTCCAAGGTGAATTTACGACCGGTATGAATTTATTATAGATTCCACGCGAGCGTGAATAGTTCATTTGTGTGCGGACTTTAATGACCAGAGAACGATCGCACGTTTTTCCTCAACACTGAAAATTTTTATCAGTGGCGTCAGAACGTATCTACGCGCTTTAATTTAGTATTATTCATCCGTGGATCTTCGCGCATTTACGACACGAAGGTATTTCTGTTGAACAAAATTAATGCCGATTACCTTCACGCTGGGAAATCATTTTGTTGGCAAGGTAAATGTTTTTTATTGCGATTTCCATAAATCGTGAATTTTCATAAAGTTCGAAAATTTAATATACTTTAAGGAGGGCCAAGAATGTTCAGAGAATTTGAAAAATATATTTTTGTCCTAGCAATGTTCTTTTATAAATTTTGGTATATTTAATTTTGTATTAATTGGTATTTAATGTATTATTTAACAGTATTGCATAGCACATTGTTTTTACATGGATACAAAATGACCCTTCCTTGCGCAGACTTTAAACCTAATATCTTAAGCATCCTAAAGTTAATCATCACTTAACCCTTATTTGCCTTATTTTATATTCAACCGTGCACTCTGTGAACGAATTTATATTAAATTCAACTAGAAGTTCGTTTCATTTCACAATAAAATTAGAAATAATATAAAATTAGAAATTAGGAATAAAAGAATAAAATTAGAAATTCACAAACTATAATTCTTCCAAGATCTTTTTAACACTGCACGAATCGTTATTAATTATACAACGATGCTGCAGTCAATATAAATGATTTTTGCCCAGAAGTATCATTTGAAACAAATTTTCCTATGTACAAGCGTTCCTTTTACATAATATTCGCTTATGTATTCTTCGCAACTAATTATTAAACATTTATACGCACAATCTAACAATATACGGATTGTCTCGAATCGTCATAATCGCCATTTTGCTAATAGGCAGGATACATGATCGTGGACGAGATGCACGAGGAGCACCCAGAATTGCTGAAGGATCAATACTGGGACGAAGTCGTGCCGAAGGATCTGCCGTACACTGTCGCCAGCGAACAATATCGCCGCGAGGAGCCAAAAGGATCCGCGGAACACTATAAGGTCAAAGACAGCGACGCTCTTTATGCGAACGTTATGCTCAGCACACAGATCCACAATCACGTTCAGCACCGCAAGAACCAGGACGACATGTATGCCGATTACGTAAGTGCGCGTCACGAAATGAACTTGAATTCGTCGATGTTCAAATGCCAGCGCTCAACTTTTCCATCTAGATTCTGCATCTATAGGATTGAGATTCAAAAGATCATTCCGAACGGCAACTAGCATCTTCCAATTGTAATTGTGCATACGACTGGCAAACTAAAATATATCATTGCCTGCTAATATATTCAAAATACAATTTTATATTTAAATTATATGCGAATAGAACTTTATTTAAATGATAGAAGCACCATGCACATAATTCGGATAGATCATCGAACAATTCTACTTC